AACATTACTTTATATCATTTATTAAGTTTAGTCTCTTTAATTTGTGAAAAGACCTGAGATGATCAGAGTTAAGAACAGAGTTCCAGGAAGAGCTTAAATTATAAACTGTACAAACTTCAGAGTTTCTCGAAGATCTTGCATACAGAACTGTAATAATGTTGAAGTCTAGAAGACTTTACATCATAAACTGTAATAATGGGAAGGTCCATGGAAGACCTTATGTGATACACTGTAATAATGGAAGGTCCCTGGAAGACCTCATTGTGATACACTGTAATAATGGGAAAGTTCCTGAAAGACTTAAGTCACATGCAGATTGATGATAGATATATTAAAATCACACAGCCATGGAAGATTAGGCTATAACCTCATGCCATGTAGAGTTGTCACTAGGATTCTGTTAATCCTAATAATGGGAAAGTTCCTGAATGACTTAAGTCACATGTAGATTGATGATAGATATATTAAAATCACACAGCCATGGAAGATTAGGCTATAACCTCATGCCAAGTAGAGTTGTCACTAGGATTCTGTTAATCCTAATAGTAATTATATATGTAGGTTTTATCATTGCATCTGAGGCCTTGTCCAACTCTCATGACCTATATTTGTGGGTCATTTTAATACATTTATGTCCTTGTCCAACTCTTAGCAGTTTTACATGTGGGTCCTTCTATTACATTTAGGACTTAGTCCAGCTCTCAGCAGCTACATTTGTGGGTCATATAATTACATTTGGGGTCCACAATGACTCCCAGCAGCTATAATGGGGGTCTTCTATTATATTTAGGGCCCAGTCCAACTTTTAGCAATTATATTTGTGGGTGGTATCATTGCATTTGGGGTCCAGTCCAACTCTCAGCAGCTGGTTGTGCAGTGAATGATGTTTTTGACAGCTCTGAGAAATGAATCTGGTCATTGTCATATACCTTTATTCAATCCCTCACCAAAACTCCCAGCTGGGAGACATTTCTGTTTTTTTAAGCATCCATCACTTACCTTGTAACTTATAACAAGATATTAAGTCAAAACCAGACCAAACTAGATATTTATACCTGAAGATTTGCTACTAAACCTTCATAAAACAATAGTGATCATAAAAGATAAATTTTTGTGATCCTTTGGGTGACCCTTTTTTGACAGGTTTCACTGTAACTAGTTTCCCTTTCCTTAATACTGTTTTCAACATCACAAGATCATATCATTTGTCATTGCAAATTGCTTGCATGATATCTTCCATGTAAGGTGAATATCCACAACTTTGCAAAAAATATCAACTAATGATATTCCATATTCTGTTGGAGGTCTCAATAACCAAATATTATCTTAGGTTCGGTCCAGTGATACTAGAAATATCTTTGTCAGATAATGACCTCCCCTTTTAGTCACAAAATGATGGCCCTTGATGCTAATAATAGAGGGAATTTTATGTAACACTCCTAATTAAATTTCATTTTAATCCAGATTTCCATTTTCTTATGTCAAGTTCCAAAACTCCACCCTCCATTATCACAGAATGACAATTGTGTGTTCTTTTTTCTTATTTTTTTGTGGGGGAGGCATGCTTGAATCATAACCAGCAGTAGCTTCACAGAAAACAAAGAATCAGGGCTGTATTCTGTAAAGCCACATCAAATATTACAGACTTGTCTTATTTGCCGACTATCTTACACTATTATGACATCATCTCATTAAACCATTCCAATGACACAGAGATATCCATTCCAGTAACACCTCACAGAGAAAAATGTGAGATTTATCTGTCAATGGATGTTAGAGAATGATGTGGTAGAGAGCAACATTTGTAAAAGAGGATAAACAGTGATGTCTGGTATCAAAATACACTTGTAAGGATACTGTTATGGTTTCAGCTATCCAATTGCATCACTGGCTATTTTAATGCTTGATAACAGTAACTGATACTTATTTGGACTTTCCCTTAAAAGCAGGAGGCTGCATAGATTTTCTTTTTTTTTATCAGTCATGAGTAATGCAATCTAAATTAGATCATTCAATTTCCTGCATCATCAGAAATTCTATTAAGATTTCGAAATGAAATCTTATCATGAACATTGGCTCGCCAAAGTGGAGTAAGGTTTCATGTGTTGGTAAATATTGTGAAAAACTGTTCACTGAGATATTAAAATAATGAATTTAGAAGCACATGAAAACTTGATGGATTTATGGTGGATCATTTGATCATAATCCAAAGACTACCTTGGAGAGTCATTGAGAAAGGCACCTATTCCTCAGCATGATACAGACAATAAAAGTGTCTTGAAACCCACATGCACAATAAACATATCAAATGTTTTAAACTAAAATCTATGACTCCAGCTTAAAACTAGATTGATGGAAATCATCATTTCCCTAAAGCAAAAGTGTTTACAGGAATATTATCGAAAATGAGCAGAAATCGTAGTTGAAAACTTTGGAAAGTAAAAGTTTTACTCAGTCTCAAATTATCTGAAAATGTTCAATTGCTTGAAAGTGTTATGAATTTGGAGTATGATATTTTGAATATTGACTTTTAAGACAAAAAGGAAACATGGAAGAAAAAATTTTTAAGAAATTGAAGCATAATGAAGAAAATATGCAAATAAAACAAACAGCAAAATATAGTACAACAAACCTAAGTGTAATCAAATACATTTGAGAACAAACCTAAGTTTTATTAAGTGTACTTGAGAATAATGCTAAGCATAATTAAATACATTTGAGAATAATGCTAAGCATTCAGTTACATTTGAGAAAAAAAAAACCTAAGCATAATCAAGTACATTTGAGAATAAACCTAAGTATAATCAAGTATATTTGAGAAAAAAACTAAGCATAATCAAGTACATTTGAGAATAAACCTAAGCATAATCAAGTATTCTTGGGGATAAACCTAAGCATAATCAGGTACACTTGGTGATAAACCTAATCATAATCAAATACATAGCTTGGTGATAAACCTAAGTGATAAACCTAAGCATAATCAGGTATGCTTGGGGATAAACCTAAGCATAATCAAGTATTCTTGGGGATAAACCTAAGCATAATCAAGTATTCTTGGGGATAAACCTAACCATAATCAAGTATGCTTGGGGATAAACCTAAGCATAATCAGGTATGCTTGGGGATAAACCTAAGCATAATCAAGTAGGCTTGGGGATAAACCTAAGCATAATCAGGTACACTTTGGGATAAACCTAAGTATAATCAAGTACAAATGAGAATATACCTAAGTATAATCAAGTATGTTTAGAGATAAACCTAAGCATAATCAAGTAAATATGAGCATATACATTACAAATCTATACAGTTTCATGTTGGGATGAATGTCAGATCCATGTTACACCTTGTTAGTTACAAATCTATAATTTTATGTTGAGATGGATGTCATATCCATGTTACACTGATTAGTTACAAATCTGTAGTTTTGTATTGAAATGAATGTCAGATTCATGTTACACCTTGTTAGTTATAAATCTATAGTTTTATATTGAGATAAATGCCAGATCCATGTTATACTGTTAATTACAAATCTATAGTTTTATATTAAGATAAATGTCACATCTATGTTACACTTTGTTTAGTTACTGATCTATATAGTTTTAAGTTGAGATTAATGTCAGATTCCATGTTACACTTTATTAATTACAAATCTATACAATTTTATGTTGAGATGAATGTCAGATCCATGTTACATTTTGTTGATTAAAATTCAATACAATTTTAAGTTGAGATAAATGTCAGATCCATGTTAAACTTTGTTTAGCAAAAATCTATACAGTTATATGTTAAGGTAAATGTCAGATTGATGTTACACTTTGTTAATTGTGGTTTTGTACTTTATATTAATGTTCTGTAAATCTATATCTTACGTTGTGATGAATAGCTGGTGATAGTTGGTTTTGGTCTTCATAAAACCATTTACAAATCTGTACATGATATGTTAAGCTAAATATTAAATCAATGTTACGCTTTGTTAGTGACTTGTGGTTATGGACTTGATACACCAGTTACAATATGTAACTGGGGGCACCTCAGTCTGCGTGAGTTCAAGTTCAGACTCAGCTAACATGGGTAAGTGAGAAAGCCTGCCAGAAGCTTCTCGTGGGTCGGTGGTTCTTCCAGGGTTTTCCAGGGTTCTTCCTCCACCATTAATACTGGCCGCCATGTATAACCTATCTTGTGCTGAAAAATGGCATTAAACCCTACAACAACAGCCACAATATGTTGAGATAAATAACATCATTGTTAAACATTGTTAGTAACTTTTAGTTTTTAGGCTTGATACAACTAGTAACAAATCTATACAGCTTTTGTTATGATGAATATCAGATACAACTGGTTACAAATCTATATAGATTATATTAAGATGAATGTCAGATACAACTAGTCATAAATCTATACAGCTTACATTAAGATGAATGTCAGATTCAAACACATTCATATTAAGGACACTTGCATTTAATGAGCAATATTGTCAAACTGATTCTAAAGGCAATTTGTCTTTAGCTACCACCTTATCTTTAAATAGACATCTTTTTAAGATTCCTTACACCACATGTAGAAATAAGCAAAGCAGTAACTTTTCTCCAGTGGACAATTTTTTATGTAGTAAATTAATATGGCTTTTTTCTAAAAGATACATACTCCTCACATTGCTGTTAGGGGTCAGGTTATACTGATCTATTTTATACATGTTATTACTAATTAATGAATTATGATCCATAACCATATCTGCCTTATGAAGAGTATCCTTATTTTGAGGATGTTCTTTATAGTGTGTGTGTGTGTGTGGTGAAATTTCAGTCATATCGCTATGATGTCTGCATCGTGGCAATTTATAGTTGTGTCTAGCACTGGAGCATCATGACACAGAAATGTAAGCGTAAAGTCCCACCCAGACACATTATCCTAACACCAGGTGGATCAGATCTAACACTAACCTCTTAATGCTGAACAAAAAGCAATGCAACTGTTAGTACCATTTTTATAAGTCTTTGGTATGACTCTGCCAATGGGTTTGAACCTGAGACATCCTGCATCCAAGGCAGATGCTCTAACCACTAATCCACCAGAGCGGTCCTTATATTCTAGTGGGGTGGCACTATATTTTGTACCTTATACTATGGGTATTCTGTAATTGCTTGAAGAAATAATAATAATAATAATAATAATAATAATAATAATAATAATAATAATAATAATAATAATAATAATAATAATAATGGCCTTATTTAAAGAGGGAAACTTAATTGGTTTAATGTTTAATACAACAAATCCCTCTTGAGACCTTTTAAACAGTTCCAATGCAAAGAACATCCCATTATAGAAAGTAGATTCCACTGTAGTGAATACCCATCATAGACAGCTAGTTCCACTGTATTGAATGCCACAGCACAGAGAGCTAGTTCTGTTGTAGTGAATGCCCATCATAAACAGTTTGTTCCACTGTATTGAATGCCACATCAAAGACAACTGGTTTTATTCAGTAACTCTTACAAGACCAGTGATACTAGTAATAACAAACAATTCTGCATAATTATCCTTTTATAAAGAAAGTTAACATGCAGTAACTAGAATCTAATACTATGCTTTTTAATGAATCATATTTTGTTTCAAAATACTCACTGCAACAAGGTTATTGTGGTTTACTCTATCCAATTATTACTCTAGGGTCACATGATTTACTCTAGCCAATCATTTACTCAGTCAGCTTGGTCTTTTTTAGGAACCCCATGACCTCCATTCCATTTATGTTGATCACATATGCTTATTTGCTCATATTAGTATGACTTAACCTTGAAACATTTAAATGAAATATCATATGCACTATTTATGTAGGTAGTACAAAATACAATCATAAGATTTTTTAAATATTAAATTAGTTTTTGACTAAATAACACTTACAGAACTATTATTATGGAAAACAATATACATTTTATAGATATGCATAACAATGCAAGGTTTTGTTTTCAGGTTGCTGTATTAGGTATCAAGTATAATTGGGTATCACCTATGACTGACAAGCAGATTTCATTTTCAGGTTGATGTATTAGGTATCACCCTTGACTGACAAGCAGATTTCATTATTAGGTTGCTGTATTAGGTATGACCTTTGACAAGCAGATTTCATTTTCAGGTTGCTGTATTAGGTATGACCTTTGACAAGCAAATTTCATTTTCAGGTTGCAGTATTAGGTACCACCTTTGACTGACAAGCAGATTTCATTTTCAGGTATCTGTATTAGACTTTACCTATGACTGACAAGCAGATTTCATTTCAAAGTATCTGTATTAGATATGACAAGCAGTTTTTCTTAACCTAATATATATCATCTTCAAAAACACTTGCTTTTATTGCAGGTGAGTTAACAATAACAGTAAGACCATACTTAGTGACAAGTCATGGTAAGTACATTTTATATTCAATTTCTTACATTGTAAATGGAGCTGAACTTTTACAGTGCATTCAGTTTAGAATGTAAAGCTACATCAAATATGTGGAGCCGAGTTATCTACCTTTAAATGCTACCAAATTTGTAGAGGATATATATATATATATATATATATATATATATATATATATATATATATATATATATATATATATATATATATATATATATATATATATATATATAATTCTGTTGATTGAGACTTACTTTAACATTTCTTCTGAAATGTTACAATGTTTACTTCATTATGTAAAAAAGTGTTCTGTAAACCTGAGAAAGGACAGAATCAATTCTGCATTAGATCACTTTTAGTCTGGTCATTGTCATACCATGTTAGCTGCTTCATTGCCTGATGGCAACAGAGAAAAACATTAAACAGTTCATCACCTCATTCCCACAATCAGGAAGGACTTGGAAGATGAGATGTTAATTTAGCACAAAAAATACCCTGACCTTAATGTACACTGAGACAAGATTCTCGCCTTTGGTAATTATCAACAACAAATGTAATCAATAGATGTAAATCAAATTTGACTGCAACAGTACTAGCTATTCCAAGAAAGCAGAGAGTGATTCAATTAAATATTGTTCATGTGACATCATTGTGAATTTTTTGCTTAAAGGCACATATCTTAGAGGAAGTTAATGCTACATTATGATGACCTTTCTTGGGTTCACCTTGAAGGTCAATACCTTAGTTTATGTGACATTATGATGACCTTTCTTGGGTTCAACTTAAAGGCATGTATCTTAGAGGAGTAGTTCATGTGACATTATGATGACCTTTCTGGGGTTCAACTTAAAGATATATATCTTGGAGGAGTAGTTTATGTGACATGATGACCTTTTTTTGAGTTCAACTTTGTGATAGATTGGTGGCATTCAAAACACACCATCCTTTTCCACTACGGTTCGCTACTAGGGAATGACCTGCCGCAGTATAATTTACCCAGTATGGATAAATAGAAAGAAGAATGCAGATCTCTGAACAAGTATATTGAAGAAATAAACACGAGTCCACTTTCAATGTACAAATATAAAATTTAATCAGTTTAACAATAGAATTTAAAATGGAAAGAAATCAATTACTTGATTACAAAAGAACGAAATATGTACTAACATGTACTCAAATAAAAAAATAAACAATACAATTTTCTTTACTGTTACAATTACTGGTCAGTAACAGAATTAATTCAATTCATTATTGCCTATGAGATGTGACCTTTGAGTGCAACGATGAACGACATCATCACCTATCTTATCCGGACAGGGAATCTTCCATTCGTCCCTGCTCTGCCAACCTTTGTCTAGATGTCTGGACCTGGACTTTTGCCAGTCAAACTCTGATTTGACAATCATCCTTGGACCTAGACTTTGGCTCAGATTTTGCTTTTGTACTTGGAATTTGTACAGGAATTTCAGGGAATCTCAGGAAAGTTCCGGAATCTTGGAAGAGTTTAAGAATGCTGTTTCCTTTTTAAAAAAATGTCTTGCAATAGACTTTAGGTCACATTTCCAAGTATATCTATATTTTTACATTAATTCAGCTCACAATGTACAGTATGATGTCCTAAAATGGATTAAATGTCAAAGCATGTATTGTGTGATGTCATACAATGTAGCACAGTGGATGAGATGTCAAATCATGTAGTGTGATGTCATGTGTCACAGTGGATTAAATGTCAAAGCATGTACAATGTGATGTCATACAATGTATCACTGTGGATGAGATGTCAAATCATCTACATTGTGATGTCATACAATGTATCACATTGGATTAAATGTCAAAGCATGTAGTGTGATGTCATACTACACAGTAGTAATATCTTTTTTTCATTCACTAAATGAAATTATAATCAATAATTATTAGTAATGTATAAATCAGTCTTAGATGTGTTATTATTTTTTTTTGATTGACCATCACACTGACACAGATAGCATTACTCATGACCTGTAATCTAGTGTTTCCATCATAGTTGCATAGACATGATAGTTGTATTGATGAAAGTCATGATATCAAACCATGAAAGATTGAAAGACTGAATAATTTTAACATTGAACTGTTCAGAAACCTTGAGGCATTTTTTTTTTACAATGACTGTATTTAGCATTTCATCAACTGAGTATTTATCTTTATTTTCCAAGTACACATTTAAGATGGTACAGTCTTACCATTCTGAATACATACTATATTATGGTACGGTCTTGCTATTCTGAGTACATTTGGTAAGATAGTACAATATTCCAATCATGAGCATATCAGATGGTACAATCTTTCTATTCTGAGTACTGGTACATTACTCTAAGATGGTAGTATTTATATCTTGAATACATACTATAAGATGGTAGTCTTTCTATTCTTGATACATACTGTAAGATGGTAAATTCTTTGTATTTTGAGTACGTACAATAAGATGGTATAATTTTCCTATTCTGAGTACTTACTATAAGAATGGGTACAGTCTTCATATTCTGAGTATATATTATAAGCTGATAGTCTTTCTTTTCAGAGTATATGCTATAATACAGTCTGCCTATTTTGAGTACATGCTATAAGATGGTAGTCTTTTTGTCTGAGTACATTCCATATGATTGTGCAGTCTTCCTTTCTGAGTACATACTACAAGACAGTACAGTCTTTCTATTTATGTGTACATTCCATACAGTTGTGCAATCTTTCTGTCCTGTGTATAATCCATGTAATTGTACTGTGTACAATCCATGTAATTGTACAGTCTTCCTATTCAGAGTACATACAGGACTGACAAGAGGAGGGGACAACCATGAATATGTGCTTGGGGCCCAGGCCGAACAATACTTTTTAATTTTATAAACAAAAAATTTTGAACAAGAAATAGGAAAGGTCTGGGTGTTTCTTACCTCAGGTCTCGTGATTGCTTTGTATGGCCCTGAATACATGCTTTAATATGGTAAAGTCTTACTATTTTAAGACATTCTGCCATTGTTTTTATTCTGCATACATAGTATAAGATGGTACAATATCTCTGTTCTAAGTATATATTTTTAGATGGTACAATTTTCCTGTTCTGAGCACATAATCTAAGATGGCACAATCTTTCCTATTCTGAGTACATACTATAAGATGGTACAGTCTTTCTATTCTAAGTACAAACTGTAAGATGGTACAGTCTTCCAATTGTAAGTACATGCTGTAAGATTATACAATCTTCCTATTCTAAGACATTCTCTAAGATGGTTCCATCTTTTCTATACATCATACATTCTCTAAGATGGCACAGCCTTCCTATTCTGATTACATACTATTAGATGGTACAGTCTTCCTATTCTGAGTTCATACTCTAAGATGGTACAATTTTTCTTATTCAGAGTTCATATTATAAGATGGTACAGTCTTCCTAAGTATAAACTGTAAGATGATACAGTCTTCCTATTCTAAGACATTCTATAAGATGGTACACTTTTCTATTCTACATACATGTACATTCTGTAAGATGGTACAGTCTTCTTATTCTGAGTACATACTATTAGATGGTATACAATCTTCATATTCTGAGCACGTTCTCTGAGATGGTACAATCTTCCCTATTCTGAGTATATAATATAAGTTGGTACAGTCTAAGTACATATTCTAAAAATGATAC